CCAAAACCCGCGCACGAAAGTGCATGGTTAATGGTTGTAAAACTGAAACTGAAAACTGATCATTGATGAATATTCTCGATTTCCGTTTGCTTTTGCATGTCCAGATATGCTTTCATCTACTGTCATCAACTGTCTTTGTCAATTATTTGCTATTTTTGGCATGCCTGCTTACGTACACTCGGATCGCGGTCCATCTTTTATGTCCGCAGAGGTCGTTCGATTTCTGCGTGATAAAGGTGTAGCAACTAGTCACACAACTGCTTACAACCCGCAAGGTAACGGTCGAGTCGAGCGCTTAAACGGTACGCTATGGAAAGCTATATCTCTAGCACTGAGGACTAGAGGTCTGCCGACCTCTCAATGGGAAATGGTCCTCCCAGATGCGTTACACTCTATTCGCTCACTGCTTTGCGTCGCCACCAACAATACACCCCATGAACGATTGTTTTCTTTCCCCCGGCGTTCGGTCAACGGCTCCTCCATACCTACGTGGTTGACAACTCCAGGCCCGGTGCTGCTCAAACGAATGGATCGAACTTCGAAGTACGACAACTTAGTAGAGGAAGTTGACCTTATTAGCTGTAATCCACATTATGCTCTCGTGAAAATGCCCAACGGCAGGGAAGAAAACGTTTCCATTCGACGCTTGGCCCCACCGGGTGATCTGATGGTTTCAAGACCAGAAACCTGCGACCTGCCGGACAGTAAAACACACACAGAGTTAGAAACTCCGCCTCCTAAATCGACAGGCAACTCACTTAATCATGAGATTCTTGACCCCTCCCCAGCCCCAACACCTGTGTCAGACAGTGCATCAGAAATCTTACAACAACAACAAAGAACGAGACCTTACAATCTACGGAACAGAGAAGCCTAGTTATCTTCTATTATTTTCTTCTTTCCTTCCAAACAAATCATCATTAATCTATAACGAACATCCTTTTCTCTCTGCCGGGGCGAATGTCGTGTTTGTTATTCGTTCTGTTTCTGTACGCTGTTAACCACGTCGTTCCTTTTGTTTTTCAGCCCATGTACTGCTATTAATAGACGAGTAAAGCGTGTCGTTCCTGCTCTCGTGTTCTCTCTCTCTATCCACGATCGTATTCGCTTGTTGTCCTCTGTAACAGTGAGCCCCCTTGTTCAAAACAAAGTCTANACAGAGTAACTTGGCACACATCTCAGTAGGACCTCTCCTCTTCCTTATATTTATCAACGACCTTGCCGAGGTCGAAAACCCAGACGCAGCCAATATCAAATTAGTTGGTGGCTCGTCCAATTATCACCCAACACAAGACGACATAGACAGGCTTTCAGTGTGGATGGTAAGGTGAGATCCACCTTTGAACGAAACCAAATGTTGCGGTATAAGTAAAAACACTACTGACCTCCCCCCTTCTGCGGCTTACGCTTCCCAACCAAAACGCATATACTCTGGAACAAGAGAAGCGCGTCAAACACCTTGGGATAACAGTCACATCCAGCTTTTCACCCAGCGAATAATGCGCCGAAACAGCCCACAAGGCCCGGAGAGCGCTGTTTGCACTCAGAGCTGAAATAACCAGCAGAGAAGCCGATGTATTCATACCTCTTTACAGGGCACTCGTAAGAACTCATCCAGAACACTGAGTCCAAACTTGGGCTCCGTATCGATTAATGGACGTGGACAGATTACAAAAAGTGCAACGGCTAGCCTCCAGAATGGTTCGTACAACTAAAGGGCTCTCCTTCGAGGACCGGCTTCAGCAACTAAATCTCGTAGACGTCTAAGAGGAGAACTGATCGAAGTCTTCAGACAATCGAAAAACGCCGACCTAGAGCTCCCCCAAGGAGATCCACGGGAGAACTAGGAAGCCACGAATACCATCTAGAAAAGAACAGAAGCAGGTTGGGTGTTACGAAACATTTCTTCCTCAATAGAGTGGTCAACGTCTGGAATCGCCTTCCCGAATGACTCGTTCAATTAAACGCAATAACGTGGTGTCTATGCACAACATGCACACGCCGGAACACTCACGCTTAAGTGTACGTAAGTCTCTCACTGACACGACGAGAAGACAGCTTGTTCCCTCTCTTTTTCAGTATTGCCGAAAACAGGCGCGACAACTACTACATCCGAATCTCGCATCCTCGGACGGTCGCGAGACTATCAACCGTACTGTAAGCCGAATAAATGCACAGCTCGATCGGTCTGCCGACGAGGTCCAGCCAGAATCAGGACAACCATAAGGCCGAGGCCTCTACATCCTGGGAAATTGCATTGGATTGGATTGGACCTCTTCATTCCTTTTGACGTGATAAAATCGACAATGCTCTTCAGTATCTTCCCCTAAGCGGTATTTTGGACCCCAGTCGGGAAGATAGTGAAAGTACCTACTTCACTTGATCTCTCCGTGGACTTCTCATGCCTGATCTTCACACCAACTGTTGAAATTCCTGAGATTTTCAAAACCACATAGGAACATATACAATGTACTGGGTGTTGAGTGCTGAGCACGTGTCTTAAAAATAAAAGCATATCAATCCGACGGAATAGGATACTGCAGTAAGAATAGGAAGAGAAAAGAATAACAGAAACGAATAAAACGGACCACAGACTCCTGCTTGCAGACGGAATCCATCCAGCCATAGCTCAGCTATTAGCCGAGGTCCAAACAGGACCAATCACTAGGCTCTTTAGGGATTTGCTCCAAAACGCTACGTTAGCAGATGATTGGCGCACGGTGATAGTAGTGGCCCTGCACAAATCTGGGTCCTGGTAGAAAGCTCAAAACTAAAGACCCGTCAGCCTAAAGTCCGTGCTGTGTAAGTGCAAAGAACGATTGGTTAGGAAGCAGATGTGCCTGCACCTGGTACACAATCGACTTCTAACATGGACGCAGCATGGTTTTGTTGAGCATAGATCATGCCACACCAACCTGCTGGTATTTCTGGATGATGTTACGCGGCGGTTGGACGTGAGCAGGAACGGAGCGCGCTATTTAGACTTCTCAAAGGCCTTCAACTCCGTCAACCATCGGCTGTTGGACGTCAAAATATAAGACATGGGTAGGGTAGACAACATAGAAAATTGGTTCGTCGTTTTTGAGCAACCGCACCTTCAGAGTGAGGGTGGGAGACCATGAGTGGGAAACTAAAGTGGTCTCCAGCGGAGACCCACAGGGCTGTATTAGGACCCCTAATGTTCCGTATGTTCATAAACGACCTGGCACAGGATCTCCGAAATCCTTTCTTCACTTTGCCGATGACGTCAAAATGACGGGCACCGACTTTCAGAGGGATTTAGAGATAGTTCATCAATGGAATGTTCAGTGGGATCTGCCTCTGAATCTCAAGTGTCGACTGTTGGCCACCAGACCCAACACGTAATCGGTAGACGGTCTACCGCTACAAAAGGCCTCACAAATGAGAGACCTTGGGATTATTATAAATCACAACTTCAAGCCCTCAGCCCAGTGCCTCAGAGCAACGAACAAGGCCAGAAGGGAATTATTTCGCGTATGTGCAACAGTCACTAGCAGGCAACCGGAGACTTACGTACCTTTATTTAGGACCACTGTTCGACTTCATTTAGAATACTGTGTTCAGGCGTGTGCACCGTATTACAGGAAGGACATAATTTGCTTAGAGAAGGTGCAGCGTCCGGCTACCCGAATAGTAACTGGACAGAGAGGTAAAAGCTACGAAGAGACTAAGGGATCGGAGTTTCTTCTCGCTCGAACGCAGAACAGTGCGAGGTGAACTGATAGACTTTCAAAATAGTGAAAGGTCTGTCAGGGCTCAACTTGGGTGATCTGTTCACCCAAGTCCCTAACTTTAGTGGTAGGCAGCTCTGCTGTCGTCCGGTTCAATACCACGCCCAACCCAGTGAGGGCTTATGTGGTTCGCCACTCCAAGACCCGGGGCTTAGGTTGCCGGTTTCCTTCACTGAACAGCAGGTCCTTGTGACCATGGGGTTAGCCCCGTTTGCTGTTCATCACACTTAGGTGTGTAATAAAAAAACTGCATGAGGCCACAGCCTCAAGCTGCAAAGGAACCACGGTCGGAGATTCGGGATAACTTCTTTTAACACTGGATCATACCTATGTGGAACAAGTTACCTGAAGAGATAGTAGACTGCACAAGCGTCAGTGTTTAGGGCAGCAGTAGATTTCTGTTGGGCTGAGACGTTCCCCGAGGTCAGAGTCTAAAACAGGGAAGTAAACCAGGGGACCTGCAAAATAATGGATTGCCTTATGTAATAACTTGTAAGATGCATACGCACCAATGGAACGCTTTTAATGAAGGCTTCTCGCCGGACAGGCAAGAAGACAACTTTTCCTTCTGGTTTACAGCACCGGTTGTGAAGACCTCCACAATTGGAAACTACTTCGGTCAAGAAGGAACCCATTGGACAATCAAATACGCAAGGTTGGAAGCTCAGAACATTCGCCTACAAAACAATAAACGGAACTCCCGATTCGCAAGAGCCACATTTTGTCCTGAGAAACTGAACTAAACTGGCGGAGGAGGAATTCGACTCAGATACACCTCGTTACGCAAGGCTTAGTTCATTTGCAGTCATAGCCATTGCCTGCAGACATACCATGCAAGTAAAATTCCACATCGGACCGCGAAAAAGTTCGTAGGTAACAGAATAGCAGTTGGAACCCTGGAGGTCCTCGCAATTGTTCCCTAGAATTTACTTCAAACATGAGACAACAAATCAAACTCCTTTATCTATCGGTGAACTCCAGCATGAACTAAATTTGTAAATGGTCAGAGTGAATCCAGTCCAGCTCTAGAAAACGCGGATCATGTTCAAGTCCGAGATGTCCGCAGAGCTATTGTCAAGGTTTCTCTCAAGTAATTATGCTAGTTTCTATGCCTTAATATCCACTCACCGGCCTGATCATGTCACTTGAACATAAGTGCGCAGCGATGGCGCTTTTGTTCGTAAATGTGCCCTATCCTGAAGGTCACTTTAGGTCAAATTTCAGGTTCAGTTCAGTCAGTCAGTCAGTTTGCACAGGACAGGAGATGGCCACGGCCAATC